CCCAGGCCTGCTGGCCACGCCCCGCGCCGCTGGCCACGCCCCCATGCCCTCAGGGCCTCACCCCTCTGGGCCCTGCATAACCTGGTCCCCATCAGGCCACGCCCCGCTCCAGCGTGGATTAAGGTGCAGATCCCTGCTCCAGGGAGTTTATGCTCTACCAGGAGAGCCTAACAATAAACACGCCCAATTAAGACATTGTCTTAGGGTCACAATCATAGCTACAATGTACACAGCACTGTACTCGCTACAATCCTATGACATCGGTACTCTTATCCCCACTCTACAAACGGAAGGAGACACAGAGAGGTTAAGTTACCTGACCAAGGTCGCACAGCCTTAGTTGTGACATCCAAAAGTGCAAAGGAGTTCCCCTTAAGCTCAACACCATCAGATGAGAAGTTGAACTGACTCCCACTTAAGAGCCTGATGAACAGGCCTTGGTTTCAAATCATGCCTCTGTCCCTCCCTAGCTCTGCGCTGTGACCTTGAGCAAGTCAATCAAACTCCTTGGGCTCTGCAAGCTGCACCTGTAAAATGGAGTCCTTCATCTTTCCTAGAATCGTGTTTGTGAGGGGTGAGGTCAGAAACATGCTTGGGACTAGGCACAGAGTAAGTGTTGACCAAACATTGACGGTTTGTAGCATTAGCTAGATTTTTTTTACAAATAGGACGCCATGTGGCTCGTCTAAGTTCAAGTAAGTAGCGGAGGCAAGTCGTGCACCAGGTCTGATTCTGGAAGTCACTGGCACCCCAGGGCTCTGATGTTTATAGGTCAGTTGTCCCAGACCCCACCCCAGCTCTCTTGAATCAACCTAGTTTTGTCCTGGCTTCCTGGTGGGCCTGGCGTCTAGCCTGGGAGTGGCAGAGGGCCAGCCGGGCATGGTGGAGGGGCCAGCCTAGTCATCTGGCCTGGATCTCCGTGCCCAACACCCACACCTCCCTGTCCTTTCTCCCAGAGAATGGGAACCGCTATGAGGGCTACTGGCAGCGAGGCTTGAAGAACGGGTCTGGGCGTTTCTTCCACCTGGACCATGGTCAGCTGTTTGAAGGCTTCTGGGTGGACGACATAGCCAAGTGTGGCACGATGATCGACTTTGGCCGAGATGAGGCCCCTGAGCCCACCCAGTTCCCCATTCCTCAGGTGGGCAGCTCTCACCAGGGCCCTGTGGCCACACCCAGAAAGAGGTAGAAAACAGCACCCCCAGCCACACCCAGCCCCAGCCCTGTCCAACCAGGGAACAGACAAGGTTTTGTTTTCAGTCTGGGCATCTCCAGGGAAGCAGGCGGCACCCGCAAGGCAGGCAGTACCCCCCAAAAGCAGGCAGCACCTCATAAAACTGGTAGCCGGGGACTTCTAGGCTCCTTAAACCCACCCCTGCTGCTTCCCCCATAGGTCAAACTTCTAGACCCCGATGGCGTGCTGGAGGAAGCCATGGCCATGTTCAAGAAAGAGGAAATGCAAGGAGACTGATGCCAGGTGAGGGGGTGAGCACACCTGTCACCCTCTGTGTGGGCGAGGAAGATCCTGGGGTCTCTTTTGGCAGAAGGATTCAGGGGCAGGACCAGAGAGGGTGGGTTTCCTGGTCCTTTCTGGTCCCTCCCCTTCAAAACTCATTTCACTGAAGACAGTTCATTCCAGTCCTGCCCCAATCCTCCCGTTTGTGCCCTGGGCTTAGTGGGAGGATTGCTACTTGGAGGAGGGTAAGGTGGTTTGCCCCAGGCCTCCACTTGCGCATCTGTCCAGTGGGCTCGGGCAGCCCTAGCCCCTCCTGCTGTGGGTATGAGGTTTGAAGAGAGGGTGTCTTTGAAATGCCAGCTCCCCCCCCCCCCTCGC